GGGGAAATAACAGCCTCTTCAACAACTAGTGCTGGCAAAACTGGACAGCTACATGCAAGGGAATGAAACTGGATTATTGTCTAACCCCATACACAAAAGTAAATTCAAAATGAATCAAAGACCTGAATGTAAGTCATGAAACCATAAAACTCTTAGCAGAAAATACAGGCAAAAATCTGTTGAATATAAACATGAGCAATTTTTTTCTGAACGCATCTCCTCGGGCAAGGGAAACACAATAAAAATGAACAAATGGGACTAGATCATGCTAAAAAGCTTCTGTACAGCAAAGGACACCATCAACATAACAAAAAGGCATCCTACACTATGGGAGAATGGGAGAATGTATTTGTAAATGACATCTGACAAGAGGTTAACATCCAAAATATATAAAGAACTCACATGCCTCAATACCCCAAAAGCAAATCACCCTATTCAAAAATGGGCAGAGGATATGAACAGACACTTATCCAAAGAAGAAATTCAGATGGCCAACAGGCACATGAAAAGATGCTCCACATCACTAATTATCAGGGAAATGCATATTAAAAGCACAATAGATATCACCTCATACCAGTTAGGATGGCCAACATAGAAAAGACTAGGAACAACAAATGCTGGCGAGAATGCAGAAAAAGGGGAACCCTCCTACACTGGTGGGAATGTAAACTTGTTCAACCATTGTGGAAAGCAGTATGGAGGTTCTTCAAAAAACTAAAAATAGAAATACCATTTGACCCAGGAATTCCACTTCTAGAAATTTACCCTAAGAAAACAGGATCCCAGTTTCAAAAAGACATATGCACCCCTATGTTTATCACAGCACTATTTACAATAGCCAAGAAATGGAAGCAACCTAAGTGTCTGGCAGTAGATGAATGGATAAAGAAGAGGTGGTACATATACACAATGGAATATTATTCAGCCATAAGAAGAAAACAAATCCTACCATTCACAACAACATGGATGGAGCTAGAGGGTATTATGCTGTGAAATAAGCCAGGCAGAGAAAGACAAATACCAAATGATTTCACTCATCTGTGGAGCAAAAGAACAAAGCAAAAACTGAAGGAACAAAACAGCAGCAGACTCACAGAACCCAAGAATGAACTAATAGTTGCCAAAGGGAAAGGGACTGGGGAG